TTATGGTCAGAATTATGACTAGGCTACTGGAAGAGTAGCAATTTACCCTTGTCAGGCTTCCTTTGTAAATAACATTTATTCTCTAAGGCGGTATGCTTAGGATCATTATCGTTACTAAATCATTTTTTGACTTGTCTAATGTACATGTGTATGCCTGTATTAAGAAATGAATATTACCCACTTGTCTTGATAAAAATACAAAAATCAACTTTCTATGTGTGTTCATTTTTTTTTTTTTTGCCTCGTACTATATATATATATATATATATATACACACATAATTTTTATTTTATTGCTTAAATGTTATTTTTAGTGGATACTTGTATTTCAGTAGATGCGCTGTATATTTATTTATTTCCCATCTACCAGTCTGAATATTCAAAAAATCTTATATAAAAAAAAAAAAATATGCACTTTCCACCAGGATTCAAACCTGTGTTCCCCTAGGGGAAACTGTTATTAGACTTGATGTGCTTTAACCTCTTGGCTACAGAGAACCTAATGCTAAAGCAAATCCTGAATAGTGCTTTTGAACACAGAACTTTCCTGATTCTCGAAATCTACATCTCTGCTCAGTTTCATATTCTAACAGAAACAAAGATAATTTTTAGGAATAGATTAATAAATAGACTGTTTAATAAATAAACAGAGCGCCTACTCAAATATCCACTAAAAATAACGTTTAGGTAATAAAATAAAAATGTTGAATTAATAAAGGACAAATCTGTTCCTAAAATATCATGAGCCAAATAAAATATGATTAAAAATTAATGAAAGGTTAAGATTGTTTAAATCTTATTGCATTAAGTAATAGTGAAGAATGAGATGTGTTAGAAAAAAATTAGTTACAATAGTTGTCAATTGAAATGATCAAATAAACATGTAAAAATGAGGATGTTGGTTTAATAACTTTTAAAGTATTACAAATTTCAATTAAGTAAAAGCCCTCTTCAGCTCATTACATTCATTTTCATTTCAATTCTCTCTCTCAATCCTGTTTTTTTTTTTTTTTTTTAAATACATACTTCAACTAACAGTTTCTTTCCTACTGTAACTGATTACTGCTTTTAAGAATTTTGACATTCAAATCTCTTCTGTGCTTTCTTTGTTTAACTTCTTTTAATTTTTGCAACCTACCAATCTTTTGAATTCTAAACATGAACTCTTAATTTCATTGTTGGTAAATTACTGGATGAGTAGCAATAAGACATTATAGGAAGATTGTTTTAGCTGTGCACTAATCATAAAAATGTTTAAATCACAGAACCATTGATCTGAATCTATCAATACTCTAGAGTGTAATTGATGTCATTTTTTAAATATCACTCTAGTATTATGAATTTTTCAAAAATTTGTCACAAAGGCTCTTTGTTCTTTGAAATCGGTTTTCTTTCTAAATGTGTCCTAAGAAGCCATCTTAATCTTACACCAACCTTAGTTTTCAGTTAAGTGTAAATTAGAAAAAAGAAAAAGTAAAATTATTTTTACCAGGTGACTAACACTTGTGAACCTATGATGAGTATAATGCTTCAATATAATCTTCTTACATTGTTATTTTACAAATAATTTGTCACTGTTTTCCTTTTTTTTCTTTTTTTTTTTTTTACACCTTTGCTGAAAATATTGAAATTAATTTGAGCAAAATACATTACATTACAAAACTGGAGCATTATTAATGAATTTTTAGTAAAGAAGTAATAATAATTTACAAATTCTTTTGTAGCTTGTTTCAGTAAGGCAATTGCTCTCTTCATTCAACTTAAGGGGAAACATTTATTTTATTCTAATTTACAAAAATCAAAGAACTTTTTTTTTTTTTTTTTTTTTTTTTTTTTTTTTTTTTTTTTTACTACAGCTGTATTTTACTTTCAGTTTAAAAAATTGAACCGATAATTATAACCATCAACTCTGAGTTCAGTGGTATTCAGTGTGTGTGTGTGTGTGTGTTAGATGATAAACTGAGCTTCTTTCTGGTTTAGATAAGAAACCTAAAATGTCTTTTTGTACTTCTGCAATAAGTTGATTCATACATTTTGCAAGTAAATGACTTTGTCTCATTTCTGTTCTTTTATGACTCAATAAAATTGTTATACTTATTCCATTAATGCAATCTAAAATGATAAAATATTTTATGTTAATAAAAGAATATTTTTGAGAATGTCGTAAACATCAAAATGTTTCTTAATAAAGAACTGGCAAAAATTATCTTCATCTCTACAATTATAAAAATGCAGGATTTAAAAAATTTTTTTCTAAAATGCTGCACATCTTCATTATGTTTCTATTGATCTCAATTCTTTGGAAATAGAATGTCATTGCTACTCATTCAAACATCTTTGTATAGTTTTCTTTTTTATATGCATTTTAATCATTGATTCTGATTACTAATGTAATATTAATAAATAAAAAATGTTAAAAATCAGCCAACTGATCAATCATCAGAAGTTACTGGGTACCAACATTTGGAACTTCACAGACCAACTGATCAACCAATAAATGAACTTATGATGATATACATATGAATAATCCAAAGAAGATTTACAATTAGTCAAATATTTTTCCTGCACATTGTTAACAGCAGAAGCGTTACTTACTGGAATTATTAGTTTAACTGATTGTATTCAAGAACTGCTTTAAAACACACATTATTTATTGTAATTAGGATTACAAAACTGATTAAATAGGAAAGCATTTTCCTTACATTTATTCAGTTGTCCTTCTGATCTTTTGTTCCATCCATTATGGATAGTGATTCAGAATGAGAAACCAGCGAGCCAAGTACGAATTACAGTCAAGTTCATTATATTCACTTATGCACAAATACCCTTGAAAAGGTATGAATACATTTCCTCCCCATTTATGGGTTAAATAGGTCTTGCATCTAGAAAAATTATTGTTATTCTCAAAAAACTGTTAATGAAATATTAACTTGCAAAAAATAAAGTTCTTTCAACTTAAAATATATTTCAGCTTTAAATAACCCACAAAGGTTTGATAAGCCATAAAAAGAAGTCCCTAAAATCAATGATCCATACATTAAAGAGTTTCATATGTGGGCAAAAATAAAGGAAAAAGGAGGTTTGCACTTATTTCAAAGTTTATCTTTTTTTTTTTTTTTTTTTCCTCTTAAGGGTAACATGGCCATTTACTTGTTATGAATTTAAATGACTAATTTACAAATGTATACCAAACTAAAATCATTAAAGTAGGTAGGTATTTGATTTGTAGCAAGAATAAAAAATCACACCAGTTTATCTGTAGTCAAATTTCCTGTCTGGTTAAAGAAAAAATTCTATGAAATCTTTTAGATTTCAATTTCTCTCATACTGTAAAGCAAGTATTCACATATTACCTTTTGCTAAAAAGGTATACATCTAATCATCTCCATTAAAACCTGGATCAATAATAAAAAAGCAAATTCAATGTATGAAACACAATACATTTTACATTATTCCCTCTTTTACTTGAATTATAACAATAGTTCTCAATGAGAGGAGAATTCATTCATTGGGAGGAATTTCACTTTCAACAGGGAATTGGGACTAAAAATTGGTAGATTTAAACTGTTGAAATATTGATCTTTCTAGATAACTACAATGCTACAATTTACCTTTTGAATCTGGAAATCTAGGAAGTAGATTGTGATTTTTGTCCTATAAGACTTGTATATTTAAGTCTGGATAAAAAAAAAAATGACTTTGACATTGAATGATCCAAGAAGTGTTGACATTATTTATATTCAGACTATTATCTTCATCTTTATTATCACATTTTCACCATTGTGCCCTCTGACCTTTTTCAGTTGTCTGTCAATCTAGATAACCTTCAGAGAATTTTAAACTGAACCCTTTATTTAATATATGAGAGTAGATTGTTCTTGTTCTGCTGTCCATGTTAGGGATATTTTGTCTTCTCCTTTTTTTGTACTGTTCAATTATTGCATCTGAAATTTTGTAATAACAAAGATGAGAACATTAGTCTGAAAGATGGCTTCCAAAAGCTAAGCAAAGTATTAAGTAACAGAAAAATTTCCTTAGAAATCAAGAAAAGAGTACTGAACTGTTACTTCATACCAGTTCTCTTATATGGCTATTGTCTTAAAGATGAAGAAAAGACTTGAAGTAACAGAAATGAGAGTACCATGTGAGCAATGATAAAGTTTTAGAGAAAATGGAAACAAAAAGGAAACTTAAACTTAACATCAGGAAGAGTTAAAATTTCTAGGGCACATAATGAAGAAAGAGGACTTGTAAAATGTGATACTCACAGGACAGGTTGAAGGCAAGAAAGACAGAGGAAAACAATGCATAAACCTACTTAGCGGATTTAAGTAAATGGATGGTGGAACAAGGTTTAGGGGAGATAACAAAAGTAAAAATTTATTAAGAGCTACAAAGGATAGGAAACTGGGAAAGAGTAATGGTCAACTATGTCCTGAAGGAACTCAACACATAGAAATCTGAATGTAAATAACCCCTCATCCCAGAAATTCAAACAGAAAAAGACTGGCATGTCATAAAATCAACCAGCTTAACCTAGGGAGCAGGGAAATAATATATATATATATATATATATATATATATATATATATATATATATATATATATATATATATATATATATAAACCACAGCTCACAAATTTAATTTGTTCCTGAAATGTTTGTAAACTGAAACTATTTTTCCACTAGAAATCAATGTAGAGAAAAAAGTCACAGTACAATAAAATTGGAAAAGAAAAGCACGTTACAATACATGAATGTATACAACATGGCGGCCGACTCGAAATTTTTTTTAATTTGTGTTAATTATCAGCAATGTTGTTCAAGAACCAAAATTTTGTTCGACATGTAAGATGTTAGAGAACCGAGGTTGCACTATATATATATATATATATATATATATATATATATATATTTTTTTTTTTTTTTTTTTTTTTTTTTTTTTTTTTTTTTTTTTTTTTTTTTTTGCCTCATAATTAATGGTCTTTATTTGTTTGCAGACTGACTGGTGCTGATAGTGGAGGTGCTATAACCGATGTGCAATCGGGTACCAAAGACAAAACTGTTTCTAGTCCTCCTGTGACCTATGCAGCCAGTGTCCACCGGTCTGAGCAGCAATGTCCAGCTACTGTTGATGCCACTTCTTTACTGCCCGGCACTCCCCCAGGTAAGCTCTCGTCCCACCCTCCAAAGCAGCACCAATCCCAATCCCTCAGCAGCCAAGACTGGGAACCCCAGCCCAGCAACCGGTGGCTGCCTGGCTCTGGTGCCTCTTCCAAGAATAGCTATGCTGCAGTGTTGAAGAAGCGAGGTGGGCCTCAATGTCTGGTGACAGACGACACCAATGACGATGTTGGTATTGATGTGTTATTGCGTGAAGCTGCAGGTATAGTATCAGTTCTATCTATTTCTTGGGCCCTTTACATTTAGTTATCATTCTCTTTTTCCATTCTACTTATTTTTGCTTTTATTGTCTTTAAGATTGTGTGCTCATCTAGTTTGCACTGCCCCCAACATTTGTTTTAGTCAGCATTGCATTGTACAGTTAGTCAATGTATAAAAGTAGGTGCAATTTCTTGGCTTTCTGCTATCTGCCTCTGAGTGTGTCAGGATATTTACTACTTTTTACTATAAAAATCAAATTCTCTTCTAATGTAAAGAAAACTTTTTTTTCTTTACAATTTCCTTGTGCTTATAGAGTTTAGTGGGTAGAATGGCTGTAATGCTTTTCAGTAGGACTTTATATTTTTTTTTTTTTTTTTATAAAGCTTTTTGTATTTTTTGTGTATTTGAAAATCTTGTTTGATATAAATTCATAAGGTTGGCTTAGAAAAATCATTCATATATTTACTTTTAAATTAAAAAGATAAATGATTTTGCTTTCATTACTATTTCAAGCAAACTAGGAAAGGACATTGAACTAAATTTAAACTTCTACATAACAACAACATACCAGTTGTACACAATCTCAAAAAATGCAATAATAATTTCAATACAACACATCAACACAACTTGTATCACTTTTGTCACTGATAAAAGAAAAATCTTTTTTGTTATTGCATTGATTTGTCGAATTTGTTATTTCTCTTGTCATATTGTTTCTTGACACATTTATTGAAGGTATAAAAAAAAAAAAGTAGGGATAGAATTGAGGCTGTTCAATCACCTACAATCTAGTTTGGCACAAGGTTGCATTAGCAGTGTATGCACAATAGATTGAACTTTTATCCAAGGCTTGCAGGATAAGTTTACTAACTTTGACCCTTTTTGGGAAAACAAATTAACTTTACAAGTTGTCAACTAAAACTTTCCCATTTGACAGTTTGTGTGAAGTTTGTATTTCACTTTAAATTTTACTTGCTGGAAGCATTTTTCTTTTTGAGGCACCCACTCACTTTATCGTGCTAAATTAATTTTGAAATCGTTCAGTCTGAACAAGATATATTCTGAAAATCATTTTTTTTTTTTTTTTTTTTTTTTTTTTTTAAATTTACTGAAAGCCAAATCTTTAAAACTTCTAATATCAAACTTCCTCATGAGAATTATCTTGTTAGGTGAACTTATTTTATTTTTTTTTACATTTCATCATATGTACTTATCTGTTTAGATATTTGGAATTTTTAAGTTACATTCAATTAATATTTTCTATACATGAAAAAAGAATGACACTGAATATTGAAGGCCTTTAACATTCAGAATTTATCTAAAGAATTTGTCAGGAAAAGTATAGGTTTTCTGCTTTAACTAATAGATTTTAAAATTGGTTTTCACAATGTGTCTGCATAAATGCTTTAGCTGTTATCTTAGCTATAAGTTATATTCATAACTCAATGATTAAGAGATTTCAATTTTCACTTTATTTTAACATTTGTTCAGAATTTTGAAATCTAAATTTAGGAATTTTCTATCAAAACATAAGCTGTATAATTGTATTATAAAATACTATTTTTAAAGATGGTTCCTTTTTGTTTAGTTTTAATTCTGTAAAAAGGTGAATTCAGCTATAGAAATTTCCATAGTATTTTATATTTAATACATACTGCCATTTCAAAGTTTAAAAAGTGTTACATAATCTTTTTGCCTGTCATTCATAAATTTAAAAAATATAACAGCAAAAATATTAGTAACTTTCTATAAAGTACTTCCCCCCCCCAGAATTGATCATTACTTTTGTTTGACTTGAAGGATTAAAATATTAATTAGTGTTTTAATAAATTTTCTTGTCTATTAGTGTTGTAGCATACCTATGGACAATAATGGGTATGTCCCCATTCACATAAATACAGTAGTAAATACTGTATGTTGCTTTGCATTTGGAGATTCGTCTCCAACTGTGCTGGTCAAACTCTCTGTCTCCAGGCAGAGAGGATCCCCAGACAAGGCTATGTAGAAGGGCAGTCTCGTCTTGGGAAACAGTTGCCCGACCCCATTTTATATGGGATCTATGGCGAATTTTTGGCTGAGTCTACAGGCTCAGATACCCCACATTAAATTCAGCCTTGTGCAACATCTGACCATCTGGGGTGGTTGGTAGATATCCTGCAGTTGGAGATTCATTGTGGAATTCACTTCTAGCAGTTGACTACTTCTACATGCTGCTTATGAAGCTTATGTGTGTTGTTCTTGTCCTAAGTATTATTGTTCATTACCAACCTTCATTTGATTATTCTATTCAGTAACCTCCTCTAGGTTACAGCAATTAGTTTACTAATCAACATATTAGTGATCATTTTTATTTTTTTTATATAATTATGAAAATTATTGCTTACTAATTTTTTTTTTTTTTTTACTATGAGCTACTAATATAAAATTTTTTAAGAATTTGAAATTTAGCCAAAATGATTTTATCATTCAACATTTCTCTTTGCATCTCCGTCTACTTTCTCTGATTTTTATAATCATAACTTTCCAAATTTAATTAACCATTTCCAGCAAATATAAAAAATTCTGCAGAACACATATTCTTATTGTTAACCATTATTAAGATTTCTTAATTTATTCTGGTTGTTGAAGATATTTTTTTTTTCTTTGGGGATTTTAATGATTTGCCTGAAATTAATGAATTTTGAAAAAAAGAAAATTTAAAATGAACTTTTTCTTTTTTCTTTTTTTCTTTTCTTTTTCTTTTTTTTTACCACTAGGCATTGCTGATTCTTGTTCAAATATTTGATAAATTAGTCTCTTGAATGTCTGTTTTGCTAATCTCCTGGACTTAGCATTGCTATTATATATTAGTGATCTCTGTTATTGCTTTATTACTGATCCCTGTAGATGTGATGGGTGCTAGAATTTTCCATGACATATTCTCTCCTTATATGTTTTGAGAGAAAGGTCTTTAATATATTTTAATTTAAATTGAATAAAAAAAAAAAACTTGACCGCAGTACCTTGTGAATCATTTTTAATGAGACTTGTGTAAAATATATATAGTTTCCAAATATTTATCAGTAAAACCCATTCAGAAATGAAACGTTTTGAAATTTTATGAATGTTCTAAGATGGATTAAGTTTTTATCAATTACATATTTCTCTCATTTCTTGTAATTATAAAAAATATTTTAAATGAGGAACAGTAGGTGTGGACATCAATCACCTTGCAAATCTTTTCTAAAAAATATTTAAATATTAAACTTTGTTATTGCTAGTATAATACCCATAAAAAATAAGATTATTTACATATGAGTTGTCACTTCTGCCAAGGAAGTTTGTGTAGTATATAAAATATTACACACACACACACACACACAATAATAGGCATTATAATATTAAATATCAAGAAAGTTAAAATAAAATAAAGGTCGGGGTACTAAATTAAGTTTTCCTTTCTATTAGATCAGGGTTTTTTTAGTAATGGTTCTTTGTCCGTTACATTAAGTCAATTATTATTTATTGTAAGACAAACACATTACTACCAAAAACATTCATTTTCAATTTTTTTTCTATGCCATTGATATGCAAATATATTCACAATCTAAAAATGAAAAGTATTTTTTTTTTTTACACAACAGATACTTATTTCTCAACAATAATCTTCTTTCTTTTAATAATCTTGATTCAATGATGAATATATATTATACAATGAAAATTTTCAGATCAAGATTCATCTACCAGGCTACAGATTTATTGATCTTACTGATCAATGAAGATTATACTTAATTATTTCTGGTGTCATGTTACTTGGGATTAATAATTGAACCTCTGGATTCCAGTTTAATGCTCCATTACCCATTTCTCCAGTTGTTCATTCTGTCAAAATTGTCTGTATCCAACTCAAACTGCTTTTTTTTCCCCCTATTCTATTATCTATGTCTCACTAAGAGACTTTAATTATGTGGTTGATTATATGATTGGTATTATGACTCATACAATGATTTTGGTATATTAAATAGCCATGATCTTTTGTGTTTAAACTAATGAACAGATTTCTTGTCATGTTTATCCCAGATCCCCTGGCAAAGATTTTTTTTTTTTTTTAAATCTTGATTTATCTTTGAATTCTATTTAGTTTTTCATCCTATTGGTAATAATTTTTGTATAAGGTTCAAGAAAGGTAAATCTCTTCAAATTTCATTATTTAAAGTTTCAGTAATTTTTTTTTTCTATATTTGTATTTCTACCATTTTTCTGTTTACTTGTAAATTGTTAAAGCTATATCTGTTTGAAATTTAGGTATCTTGGCTAAACAAAAGTTTCTTTTTTTTTTTTTTTTTAATGCAACTAGTTCACATATATACTTGTAAAATCTGCATTATCCATAAACCAGACTGCTTTCAATTTGAACCATGAACATACCAATGGCAGTTTGTATGTTTGTAAAATATATATTTAAATTTTAAATATCTATTCTTTCCAATTAACTTTCCTCACTTCTGAGCTTGTCTTCATTTCCCAACTGTCTTTTGCTTTTGGATGGATTTCTAGGACATTATTTTTTTATTTTTTTTTTTTATTTTTATATATGTTCTAGCCAACAGTTATTTTTTTGTTTCCTTTTATCACAGCACTTATAAATTTTTATGACCATTAAGAAAGCAACACAGATCAAATATAAAAAAATTTTCCAACAACATTTGAATTCACATCCTCTACTCTTGAGAGCTTCTCTCACCAAGACACCACTTTATGAATTAAGCTATGAAAGCTAACCAGGATTGTTACCAAATTGAACTACAAGTAATGAATTGAGTTGCATTTGTAATTTCAGCATCACTAAATCTTGAATTGACTCCCTCACTAGTAACCCAAATTAGCTCAGCTTATTTTAAAAGTAACTCAAAAAGTCACAAAATTTATAATTTGATAGTGTTAGACTTTCACACACAGCCTGATCTTGCAAGCCGGAACCAAGACATGTCCTTCAAATTACATTACTATAGTTTTTATTAT